CTACTTACTATTATAGAGTATAAGTCTAGTATACTAAAGAATTAAATCTTTAACACAGCTCTATAACTCTAATAAAAGATTATCTAATACTAAGCTATATATATAAGTTAGTCTTCTATAATTATTTAGAGAGTTAATAAAAAAGTTATTCTAGAAGCTAATACTAAAGTAAACTTATATCTATCTTTTTTAAATCTAGATATAAATAATATTATAACTACGCTTTAGAGTAGAGACGTATTTCTAACTAGCTCTTTACTTAATTACCTACTTACACTATCTAAAGTTAATCTTATTACTAGTATTAGCGCTGCTAGTAAAGATACTATTATTATAGTTAGTAATAGTAATAGAGATAATACTATATATGTAGTTTAGAATTATATAGATACTACACTAATACTACTAGGCTATATCTAGTAATAGATTTGTCTAAGTAGAAAGCATTCTTTAGCCTAAGATATTAAAGTAAGGTTTAGTACACTAGTTATAAAAATTATTTATATTAATTTTATAGATCTAGTAGACGTTCTTAAAAGACTATTCTAGATATTAGAATAGAAGTAAATATTATAGCCTAGTAGTACTCTTATTCTTAAGCTAGAGAGATTACTAAAAGATATTACCTAGTAGAATACAGCCTTACGCTATAGAAGATTATTATATCTATAAAGTTTCTAACTTTATTCTATTAATACTTACCTCTTTAGTATAGGTAATAATAACTTAATATAGTAAAAATAGATAGTGTTAGCTTATTATAGACTTTTCTCTAGACTTAGCTATATAGAAGGTAATAGGTATACTAGATTATATAATTAGCTAGATAAAGTAGCTAGATTAGTAGTAATAATTAGTATCTAGCGTAAAGACTAGTTATTTAGCCTCTTTATATAATATTATTCTAATAGGTAGCTTAGTCTTAATTAAGTAGATAGTAGAGATAGCGTATAAAGAAGTAGAGGCAGAGATAGAATTAAAATAGTAAGTTAAACTATATAGAGAAATTTCTACCTAAAATAGAAATACTATTATATATTATATAGATATTAATTAGTAAAAGAGATTATAGCTAAATAGTCTAATAGCTTACTATACTTTAAAGTAGAAGCTATTCTTAAAAGAAGTAAAGATCTATTATAAGACATTATATAAGCAAGTCTCTTACTTTATCTCTATCTAGCTCTCTACTATTAAGCTTATATAGTTTATTCTTTTATAGAAGCTCTTCTATATTATATACTATATATTAGCTAAGTCTTTTATTATACTAAATAAAGCTTTAATAGTAGATACTTTACTAAGCCTATTATTATAGCGTGCGTACTAAAAGATATAGTTAGTTATAGCTACTTATTAAACTCTTAGATTTTTAGCGCTTACGTAATATAATATAGATAAGAAAATAATACTTATACTAATATTAGAGAGAGTATCTATTACTTTAGCTAACTTATTAGAAGTACGCTTAAGTTTCTCTAAATATTTAAAGATATACTTTTTTATCTTATTATAAGTGCTTAGAAGATCTACTATATAGTTGTATATAGTAGTAGAGGTTTCTATACTTTAAATCTACTTATATAATTCTAAATATATATACTTTATAATATATATTTTATAGTCTAAAGCGTTACTAAAAATAGTATAGACTATATATTTTATAGTCTAAAGCGTTACTAAGAATAGTATAAATCTTTTCTATTATAGTTAAGATATTTAGATATAAGCTATTAAGCTTAACTATAGAAGAGTTATAGTATAAGTTTTACTTTTCTTTAATCTACTTATAGCTAACTAATAACCTAGTAGATATACGTAGATAGTAATTATAGGTAGTACTAATTACTAAGGTAATAACTATAGAGATTACTAAGACTATTATAATATAGATAATAGGCGCGTATTAGATTCTCTTAAGCTATATTTATAATTAGCTACTTATATTATATAAGCTCTAGATAGACTATCTACTATTAGAGTAGAGTTATATTAGAGAGTCTAGAGACTCTTCTTAAAATAGCGCGTTACTCTCTAAAAGTATTAACTTAATCTATTACTAGTAGAAGCTAGTTATATATAGTTTAAATAAGCTAGTTTTTATAATTAATGTAAAGTTAGAAGTAGATAGCTCTAGTAGTGCCTTAATTAGCTATTAATTACGCTACTATAAAGACCTAGACTACTACTTATATAGATATAGATTAATACGCCTACACTAACTTTTATATTTCTAGACTTTATATTATTCTCTAGTAAATTAGAATAGGCTACTAGCGCTAGAAGTAATTATATTATACTCTTTCTATTACTATAAAGTGTTATTAAACTCTTAGAGCGCTTTTTAGTCTTAATATTAGAGGCTCTAGTATTATTCTATAATAGTTATATAGATCTAAATTCTACCTCTAGCTCTTCTATAGTTAGTAGTATAATAGGTTTTAGTAAAGAAGTAGAGTAGAGAGATAGTAAGATTATAATAAAATAGATACTTATATCTAGAGTAGCTATCTTCTCTTAAAGAATTACTTAATAGTTCTTTATTAGATTATACACTACTTTTCTCTAATAAGAAATAAAATATATTAACTAATCTAAGAATCTAGCTACTATTTAGCCTACTACTAATAAATTATAACTTACTAAAGCTATAGCTAGTAAATAACCTAAAGTAAGTAAACTAAAAACTTATAGCTCTTTAGTAAGAGAGAGATAAACTTTAAGAAGATATAGATACTCTTTACTCTATCTCTATAAAGTGTTTATAATATATACGCTAATATACTAAGAAGGTATCTACTTTAGATAGTATATCTAATAGCGTAGCTTTATTACTTAAGAAGCTTATAAAGTAGATATAGTAATAGAATAAAGCTTTTAAAACTACTAGTCTTAGTATTAGCTAAGAGGCTGTAATATCTTTATTAGATAAGTAGTAACGTATATAAGTTATCTATCTTAGTCTATAATCTATAGGTTATCTAACTACTATCTAATAAGAATTAAGCTTAATATACCTAATATAGTTCTACTTTCTCTATTAAAGTAATAGTCTAGTAATATACTAAGCGTCTATTACTATAGTCTAGTAGTCTATTATTATCTCTAGTAGTTATTATCTTCTATATCTACTCTAATTTCTACTTCTTAAAGCTATGTTATAGTGTCTATAGAGAATTAGTTATTAGTAATAGAAGAATAAGAACTTATAAGCTTTAGATTACCTTCTTATCTAGGTCTTAGTTTAGATAAGTTCTATATTATCTTTCTTTAGTTCTAGTTAAACTATATAAGTTCTTTTAACACTATAAATATAGTTACTAGATATAGCTAGATTAAGGCTTTCTACTATTACTCTATTTAGGCTTATACTATATTTATATTCTATTACCTTTACTTTTTCTTTTACTTACTTATTCTACTTCTCTATATACTTTAATATTAAATCTTAAGAACTATAAGACTATTATCTCTACTAAACTTAATACTCTTCTATAACTAACTTAGGCTCTACACTATAAAGTAGTTATAGTTCTATATAATATTAACTATTCTCTAGTACTTATAAATACACTACTCTATTATATTAATAGTATTAGTTACATTATTATAGCGCTCTATTATTCTAACTTTTCTATTATATTTATTTATAGCTTCTTAGTACGTGTATAGTTCTATCTAATATTACGTGTATACTTTTATATTCTAAGCTAAGTACTTATAAAAGCTCTTAATTATATATACTATTATAGTAGATAATAAAATATATATAAGTTTATTATTATTAATAATATAGATACTTTAGGTATTAGCTAACTTACTACAACCTTAGGTAACTACATCTTAAGATCTTAGCTTAATACTAGCTTTAGTGTTACTATTAAGGCATACTATAATAATACTATAGATTAATATTACTATATTACTAATAGATATAAATAGATTCTTAAGCAGCTCTTACCTCTATAGACTATTACATATATTAATAGTATTATAATATCTACTAATACTTTAGATATAGCTAATATTACTATTACTAAGTATTATAGATATATATTTACTAATTAGTTTATTTATATAGATTCTATAGATACGTTATTTCTTTAGAACTATAGCTATCTTATATAGAATATATAGTAACTAAATACTTATATTACTTTTCTTAGTGTAGAGCGTATATTCTTAATATTTAGTATAGTTAGTTATAATTAAAACAGACTTTAGACAAAGAAGCTTAACTAAGTAGACCTTAGAAGTATAGAAAGAATGTATATCTATAAATATAAATTATTAGAGGTTAGTAATGTATTAGCTATACTTCTAAAAGTCTTTATACTATAATTACTGTGTTTATTTTACTTAGCTAGGTATTATTATCTAATCTCTATAACATTCTTATTCCTAAAACTCTACTATATTATCTAAATAATTTATTTTTTATTTCTAAAGGTGTCTAGCTACCTATCGTCTGAACATACACTTTGTACATAGAACTCTACGGCACTCCCGTCGACTTCGCGACTTGCACAATCTGATGACATCGTGAGAGGCTCCGATATGCAGGGCTCATCGACGCAGGTGTCCGGCTGTTGTGCGACCCAGTCATGCATCTCCCGGGTAGCCCTGGCACGTCGGACCAGTACCTGCACCGAGTGCTGCGACGTGGCAGAGTATACGTGTGTACACGCCGTGCAATAACAACTTCGCATAGCAACGCGCGAGGTTGAGGATATCCACATGCTCTAGTGTCCACCGCGGGCGGCGCAGTGGAGTATCGTGTTGGAAAGGAACAAGTGCAGCATTCGAAAAGTGGGGCACACACATGTACAAGTCTCATCGGTGTACCACAAGACAATCTCAATTACGCTATCATGGCAAGAGCAGGACCGAACACCAAGTAGGAGCTTCGCGCGCCATGCAACTACACTAAAATCCTTCACGAATACGCCGACACACCAGCAATTTGTCCCCCCTAGGCTGACCGATACCCAACTTTCAGACTAACGCACCAGCTTCCACCCGTTCTTCTTCGCATCCAACCATCGAACGTTCAAGAGACAGAATAGCGAGATCGTCAACAAGGATCCGGTATAAACAATCACCCTCACAAAGTCTCTGCCTTGCAAGTCTACACCGGCGACTCTCGACACCAACGCGCCTGCTATCGGTGCGCTGACGACAAAACCGACTCCGCGTATACTGGTCATCATACCACTCTTGGGATAGTACATCTCCGAGCCAAACAGCATCTTCTGTGCCGAGTTGATAACGACGTTGAAGACGCCGTTGCTCAGCCCGTGGCAGACACTCATACAGATGTAGAGTCCCACGTTGCTCGTCATTGCAGCAGATAGCCAGAATGCCCACGTTGCCATGGCGTACACAGCAGTGGCAACAATGAGCATGTTCAGATGTCCAATCTTGTCTGACAGCCATCCGGTGCATAGCCTACCTGGGATCCCTACTCCTGTGTTGATGGCCAAAAGGTATGACCCGTGGATGATGCCTGTTCCTATGGACTGAGCAAACTCAGGCCCGAACACCATGGGTATTGCCATCGTCAACGGGTGTACCAGGTTTGCGACTGCGAGTGAAGCGAAAAGCGGATCTTTGAAGACATTCCAACCGACTATATCGGTAGACCGCCTTTCGAACTTTCGGGGTGGGAGGGCGAGCGCACTAGAAGTGGACAGGACTACGAAGCTGAATATGGCGAGAATTCCTAACGTCCACCGGATACCGAGCGTCTCGAGCAACTTTGTCAGTGCGAAGACCCATACCGTGCTCCCTAGAGCCGCGAATCCAAACATGATACCTTGTGCGAGGCCGCTCCGCTGTGGGAAGTACTCTGGTAATATGGGCCCAAGAAGATAGATGTGAATGCCGGTTCCAAGGCCGACCAGGAGTCCCTGACACGCAACAAGTGTTGCCAACTGCGTCCTAGTAAGTGACTGATGCGAGAGCAGTTGGGAAGCTTTACTCACCTTGTGGCTGGCTACTGCAGTTGCGAATCCGATCACAACAAACGCCGTGCCTAATCCGCACAAAGATCTAACGTGACCTCCTAATTGGGGAAGATGCGGGTAGTAGAACACTCCAAAGGCGGCGAAGAGCCCTCCATTCCCTAACGACCCTATCGCCGAGATCAACGGGCGTTTGGATAGCTCGGTCTGAAGGAGGACGCCTTCCGTGACAGCCGCTTCTCGTCCGTAGTGTGCTTGGAACACCCCAAAGGCTTGGTTGAGGCCTACTAACGTAAATGCCATCAGACAGGTCGAGCCCAGGATGCGGCATTGTTGCGTCCGTGTTATACGGTCACCGGGATTTTCGGCATCTGGATGGGTGGATATGCTGGATATGCTGGATATGCTGGATATACTTGAATGTCTGGAGCGCGACTTCTCGCGGAGCGAAGGCCGGGCGCTGTCGACTGATGTCGAAGTAAGCTCACATCTACACAAAGGATCAAAGGTGCAAAACTTACCAGCTTGTTCAGCATCGGAGACGTTCATCTTTTCTATCGCAACAAAAGGTATCTGTGTATCAAGAGTACACAGGAGTGCGAATACCGTCCTACTATTTAAGAGCTATACGTGAGAAGTCTGTTTTCCATTCTCCTATCCGTCGCGGAAGTTATGTAGGCAACACCATGCGCGAACTATGGTTCCGCTCATTGTTGAATTTTCGAGTCGCTACCGATCCGTGGTACCATCCAGTGTCATATCATATGAGGCATTCGCCCCATCCCGGGCATCTTTAGGCCATCCAACACATGCCAGTTGCAAACTGCGTTGGCACGCTCAGGTTTTGAGACTTCCGGTTGGTGAGATCCAGTGGAGTCAGGTCCCATCCAAGTGCATGGACAGACTATAGGTTCCGCATCAAACGGGCACGCAGTCCTGACCCACTTGCTCCATCACCGTATCCAAGTTGTATGAAATGTTGAATTGTGTGGCCAAGCCGTTTCAGAATGCTGCATATAATCGAAGTTGGAGTCATTGTACTCTTCTAGGCCTGATGTCGACATGGAGGGCACTGAGTGGTCTACCAAACTTTGTGGTCAATAAGAACGTTCAATTTTCGCGCACATCTTCCTAGCTTGGCCAGAAGCTGGCCGCTCCCATGGTAATTTGTGTGGGACGACGCAGCATGCTGCGTTGTTTGCACATGCGAACTCCTTCGTCTCGATGTCTCTTGATGCGCGCATGCCCGCTGCGTCGCCTACGTCATAGGTTGCCAATCTATTTGCGTTGACATGCACTACCTTTGCATTAAGGATTTTCTCGATCACTAACAAGGATAAAGGGAGTAGAATCAGCATCGCAGTCGCAGCCAGATATATCGCGATGTGTTGTGGTAGGCAGATGGGCACAGGGCGGGAATAGCCGGCGCGTCTTGGGTGGACCCTGGCTGGGGGAATATCAAAGAAAGTTGACGATGGTTATCGCCATCAGACGCAGCGCCGCGCATTGCCTCCACCCCTCCGCAGCCTACGCCAACTCCTGTAGGCTCCCTTCCTCCCCAATTCTGGGAGCGCCTTCGACGTCCGTATGTACGTGATTCGGTCCGCACTGCGAGTGTCTACGAAACGACCTCCAGCGCGCTTTATTCGCGGCCGCCGCTACCCTTCGACACCACGACTACGAGCATTCCACACCACACGCACCCTCGCCCAAGCCTCGAACCCGCCGCCCGCGCCCAATAGCACCCCCGCCGACCAAGATGACGTCAACAAGACGGACCGAGAGAAGGCAGCAGCAGCAGTGGAGGAGCCCGCCGACAGTGCGGTAGCATCAGAAGACCCAGAGGTTCTGGCACAGAAGCTGCAGCGATCGCGGGAAACCTCACGCAGGTACTCGGCTGCCTTGCGACGCCAGCAGCGGGGGAAGAAGACGCAAGGGCTGCCGCCTGTCCACATACCAGACTGGTTTCTGAAGAAGAGGGTACTACGCCGCCAACAATATCTCGCAGACCCACAAGTAGCCAATGCGCCCACGGTTCTCTCTGTTCAAGTCGCCCATGCTGAGTCCGGAGAGCATGCCGCGTGCACCATACCGGCTCCACGCGACTCGGACGCTACCCAGATCCTGTCGCGACTAGTGCGTGGCCTGTGGAACAGGCGCCTGGACGATCACGAGAAGCTCAAGGTGGAGAGGTATCTTGAAGAGCAGATGGCACCGATCGATCAGGCGGAAACACACCAGTCGCAAATCCGGAATGACGAAGCAGTCGCTAGCACCGAAGCAGGGCGCCCGGACGAAGTACCCATATCCACAATCACCGAAGACACTGCTTTCATGGACGCTTGGTCTAAGCTGAGCAAGATTCAGAATGACAAAGACATGGATCCGCGCCAGAAGATTGAGGCCATGAAGAAACAGAGTGCCAAATTGGGCATGGTTGCGAGGAAACGAGAAATCGCAAAGACTCGGCAGGCGGGCAACTCCAGACGCCTATCGTCCCTGGTCGTTGCTGAGATTCGAGCTACTATGGCTGCGTCTCTTTCCTCCTTGCACCCAGCTGGCGACTCCTTCCCTGTTACAAAGACAAACCTTAGCCTTCACTCACCCATGGCTGAGCACGAGCCATTGATAGATGAATGCGTAACATCTACTGCTCTCGAAATGGGCGCTGACGTTGTTGTCCTAAAAGCTCAAGACCTTGCTCATCTTGCTGGAGATTACCTTGGCGAAGGAGCAGAGCCATCACCACGTTCGATACGCTCGCTGGGCTACGAAGCATACCGCATGAACACAGATCTCGGCGATCTCATGAGGGACATAGAAGACTCTATCGCGCAGGACGACTCCGAGTGGAATCAGTCTTCGTCGACGGATCAGCCTGATCCCAATTCAATGCGCCCCCGTGCTATACCTCTCTCCATAATTTCTCTAAAAGGCTCTCTTTCACCTGCCTTGCGGGCTATGACACAAAGCTTGAAGGGCATGGGCCTATCAGCAGGCGAATTCGGAACGTCTGATGCGACAGTCGATGAGTCAGGGCGCAGTCAGAACCCTGGGGACGTACAGCTTGAGGATCTGAAGTTAGCCGCTCTCTTAGACGCACTGATTGATGCGGGTGACCTGAAGCAAAGCCGTGGTCTCGTCGACAATACACACCCTTCCCACTCGTCTGAAGAGTCTCAAACATCGTCAAAAGCTCCTGCCTTTTTCGACTACTCTCTGAAGCAAGAAGGTGCCGAGCTTGAACTCAACTCTGCCTTGCCGTCTCCTGCAAAGGCAGACATCAGCATGACTGTTAAAGTTGGATCAGCTGCGAGAACCCTTAACGCCCCAACAAAATCTAAAGTTGTCTACATCCCGGACTTCAAACAACTAAATGCTACACACTATGGTGGCCGCATCGTTCAGAAGCTGGAAGAGCTTGTTCGCAAGCGCCGTAGTGCTGGAGAAAGCGTCATGATTGTGGGAAGCACTTGTTCACGCGACCTCACGCCTGAACTATCCGCCAGGTAAGGAGTACCCGCAACGTAGAAACGGCCAAGCTAACACACACCAGCGGAGTTCGTGCTCTCCAAAGCGAAGGCGAAAGTGGCTTCTTCAGGACCATTGTGGTCGCATCAGAGTCTGGCAGCAGTAGCACACCAAACTTCGACGAAGCTCTCGCATCGTTGGGTAGCAACTCCGCGTCGTCGATTGACCTTTCAACAGCAGAAAAAGACAAATTCCGACGCATCAATCTATGGCATATACAAGACATGCTTCGCTCATTAGATCCAGCGGCGGCTGCGACTATTTCGAATTTGGAGCAAAGTCCTTTCCGCTTCGCTGAGTGGGCGCCTATTTTCCATTCATCACAGTTCAGCCGTGTGTTGAGTTACGATGAGGTACACAGGGTGGCATTGACAGCTCTCGGCTTGCTTATCACACGCCCGGCAAGCGAGGCAGCAACCTCTGAGGATGCACCGGCGCAAGTAAGCTGGGCACATGTTGCGCTTGCTATGGGACTGCTAAAGTCTAGTGACACAACTAAATACACCTCTTTCGAGAAGGCTGCGGCAGCAATCCCGAAACGCTCCAAAAACGCTTTTGGTAATCAGGAAGGAGGTTTTGAGGCAGACCTGGGCAGGAAACGCCCAGACGAGAAGAGCATGCAGCGTCAACGAAATCTGCAACGCATAGCATCCACAGCCAACAAGCACGAAAAGCGGCTCATGCCCGGTATCGCAGACCCGGATCAGATCAAAACGACCTTTGACCAAGTACATGTGCCCACCGAGACGGTAGACTCGATACGAACCATTACCTCATTATCACTGTTACGTCCTGAGGCGTTCAGCTATGGTATTCTAGCGACGGAGAAGATATCCGGCGCCTTATTATACGGACCTCCCGGCACAGGAAAAACGCTTTTAGCCAAGGCCGTAGCGAAGGAGAGTGGCAGTACGGTACTCGAAGTTTCCGGCAGCCAAATCATGGACAAGTATGTGGGCGAGGGCGAGAAGAATGTGGCAGCCATCTTCTCCCTAGCACGGAAGTTGTCACCATGCATCGTCTTCCTCGACGAAGCAGATGCTGTCTTTGCATCCCGAGACGCGATGCGCGAACGAACGTCGCACCGCGACATACTCAACCAATTCTTGAAAGAGTGGGATGGCCTCAATGATCTTTCTGTGTTCGTCATGGTAGCTACAAATCGACCTTTCGATTTGGACGACGCTGTCATTCGCCGACTACCCAGACGGCTGTTGGTAGATCTACCCACACAGGCTGACCGGAAAGAAATCCTACGCATACATTTGAAGGGCGAACAACTCGATGACTCTGTCGATCTAGCAGACATCGCCAAGCGTACGCCGTTCTACAGCGGAAGCGATCTCAAGAACATTGCCGTCTCTGCCGCCCTCGCATGCGTCAAGGAGGAAAACGAACAAGCCGCCATTGCCGCTGCGAAGGCCAGTACAGAGTCTGAGTCTGAAGCCACATCCACTCCTGATTCGGAAACATCGGAATCTACGACCGCAGCCACATCCACAGCCTCTGAATCCTCCCAACAACAACCCTCCTCGCCATCAACACCACCAAAAGCCCTACACCTCGTCCGCGGCCAAAACTACACATTCCCCGAGAAACGCATCCTACACTCACGCCACTTTGACAAAGCGCTGCAGGAGATCAGCGCCAGTATTAGCGAAGACATGAGTAGTCTGAGCGCGATCAAGAAGTTTGACGAGCAGTACGGTGATCGCAAGGGGAATAAGCGGAGAAAGGACTTTGGGTTCGGGATGATTGCTGAGAGGAATGAGAGTGCGGCGAGGGTGAGGATATAGAGGAAGTAGTGAGGAGTGAGTGGGCAGGATAGCTGTGTGTTAGGGAAGTGGATGAGCGAGTGGAGAAGAATGGTGCATGTATATGCTGTACGAGTAGACACTGGTCATGAAGATGAAGAATGAGTATATATTATCCTACTATCTGCTACCCTACTTCAGCATCTCCTCAACCGTCTCTTCCAACGGCTTCGGCGTCCTCCCCGCCTCCCTGAGCAACGCCTC